CTTCCCCAAAACATTGCAGCTCTGCCAGTTGAACCACAACAGTCGCACTGGCACGTGTGCCAGGGTTACGTTCCCTTACAGGTGCTCTCCAAGTCATCAAAATGCCCTCCTGAAACCCTGTTCCACCCAGAAAATCTGTTGGGGAAGTGCCCAGACAGGGCCTGCTGGCGAGGAAGGAGTCTGAGCAGACACAAGAAGGTGGGTGACACATAAATGCCATCAAGCATTTTCAGGTTATTTCCTTGTTTGCTTCAGTGAGGATCTGGCAGTGGCTGTGCAGCAGGGGACTTTGCACCTTCGTGTTAGTGTGAATGCTGCATCTGGACCTCCCTGTTGCTACAGGAGAGCCGAATATCCCGGAAGGGGAGTAGGAATTAAGCAGGTGCCAGGGACACCAGCAAAGCAGGAGAATCCGTTTTAAAGGCACTGAACAGCCTGAGGCAAAGTTCTCCTGCTACAAAGACCAAACTGCCCCACAGTACATGTCTGTTCTTGCCCTGGGAGCCTGAAGCCCTGAGGCTGGTGTGACAGGGAGAATTTCTAGTGGGACGTCTGCCAAGGGAATAGCAAGTCAGGCAGCTCAGCTACAGCCTGGATCTACCCAAAGTGTGCATGGTGCCAGGATCAGTGAGGAGGACGGGACTGTGGGATCAGGGGCACCCCCAGCAGCTCTGCTGGCATCACGGGGCTGTGTGGTGCAGCTGACACACTGGATGGATCTGGAAGGACCTTGGCAGGCTTGAGAAGTGGGCACAAGCCAACCTCAGGAAGTTCAACAAGACCAAGTGCAAGGCCCTGCACCTGGGTAGGGGCAATCCCAAGCACCAATACAGGCTGGGCCACGAGTGGACTGAGGGCAGAGAAGGAGTTGAGGGTGTTGGTTGAGGAGAAGCTCCACAGGGCCCAGCAGTGTGCACCTGCAGCCTGGAAAGCCCATGGCATCCCGGGCTGCAGCAAGAGCAGCGTGGGCAGCAGGTTGAGGGAGGGGACTCTGCCCCTCAGCCTGGCTCTTGTGAGACCCCACCTGGAGCCCTCTGTGCAGCTCTGCAGCCCCCAACAGAAGTAGGGACCTATTGGAGCAGGTCCATGAAGGTGATCTGATGGCTCCAACACCTCTCCTGTGAGGACAGGCTGACAGAGCTGGGGTTGTTCAGCCTGGAGAAGAGAAGGCTCCAGGGAGACCTTAGTGCAGCCTTCTAGTACCTAAAGGTGGCCTCCAAGAAAGCTGGGGAGGGACTTTTTACAAAGCCCTGTAGTGACAGGACAAGGGGTGATGGCTTTAAACTGAAAGAGGGTAGATGTAGATTAGATGTAAGGAAGAAGTTCTTCCCTGTGAGGGTGGTGAGACACTGGCACAAGGCTGTACGTGCCCCAGCCCTGGAAGTGTTCAAGGCCAGGCTGGATGGGACTCTGAGCAAGCTGGTCTAGTGAGAGTGTCCCTGCCCGTGGCAGAGAGGGCAGAACTAGATGACATTTCAGTTCCTTCCCATCCAAACCATTCTATGACATGACTCTATGACCCCAACTGAGGGGAGAAGCACTCCCAAATATCTGCCCATCTTGTGCACAACTCAGAGCCAGGGCTGTGAGAGCTTCACCTTTGAGGAAGCAAAAGGCTACCCCAGAGTCCAAGGCTGGGGAGCCCCAGCAGCAGGCACACTGCCAGCAGCTCTGGAGGACAGAAGCAGGGGTCACCCCCAGGCAGGGCTGCCCTGGTGCTGCAGGACCTGGGCACACAGTGCTGGGCACAGGACGAGGGACTGTGCCCCTTCCCTGCTCAGCTGCAGGGCTCAGCCCCCCGAGCAGGGCACGTCTTGCTGTGCTGCAGCTTGTGAGAGGGGAAGGAAGTCAGGACAGCCCCTGGGCTGTAGATAACTCACTGCAGCCACCCAGCTCTTCCTGAGGGAAACTCCCTACACTAAAGCCACCCTCTCACGGCTTCTCTCCACTTGCAGTTGTTTTAGGAGGGCAGAGAAAGGCTAGCATGAGAAACCCTCCTCTGGAGGAAGAGGAGAGCACGAGGCCTTGGCCTCTCCCACCCGGGTCCCAGTGCTACACGGGCTGTGGCTGATCCCTCAGCAGGAGCAATGCCCCTGAAACACTCATCCCACAGGGAGTGTTACTGCCCAGGGCTGGGCAGCTAGCCCCAGGTCACTCCTTGCCAAAGGCAGATGTTCAGTAGCACACTCCTTTGTGTCTCATCCAGGATACATTTAACCTCTGGCTGACCACTCAGACTTCCCATAGCTGCCATAACTTGGTGTAGCCTTTATTCAGTAACTTTTCTACACTGTGAAATCTAGCTGTCTGGTGAAGATCTGGTGCAATCTAGATCTGAGCCTGCCTAGATGCTCAGGGGATCCTCCATTTTCACCCCCAGACCTCAGAGTAGCACCAGACATGAAGGTCCCTGTGCCCTGTCCCCTTCAAGCCACAGATGGGCAGGTTTCTGTTGCAGTTTCCATTTTTTCTCTTCAGAGGCAAGGAACCAAGTTCATTTGAGAAGGTCCTTTCCCATCCCACTGTTGCTGCACAGAAGATGAGGACAGGAAGAGAACCTCACTGCCTCAGAAGGGAACCAAGAGCTCCAGAAGCAATCTCTGGGCTCCCAGAAAGCAGCAAGGAACAGAGCTGGCCTCTGGTAGACCCCTGTGAACATTCTGTAAGAACTGGGCACAGAGGACAAGTTATCTCCTCAGAAAACTGAAGCCAAGACCCCACTGGTAGGTGCTTCTGTAGCTACCTGGTGCCTTTTCTCCTTCTGAAAGAAGAAGGAATTCTCATTTTACACTGATTTACTTTCTTGTCCTGCATATCGAGGACAAATATTTTAGTCTATGAGGACTACTGACCCAAAAGAGCTCCAAGAAGGAGGAAGGCCTAGAGATCTCTCCCTCTACAACACCTCTACCTCTTGAAATTAAATGTTCCATTCAGCCCCTCCCACTGCGTGGCAGAGGCCCAGCAACACCCCAGCCTGCATCCGTGGGGGTCCACGCTGTGCTTCCACCCAGCTGGCTTCACAGGCATCACAGTCAGCCTCCCAGTTCCCTCCAGCAGAGCAGAGCACCCAGCAGAGGCTCATCAGGCTGCTGGCAGGGGGGAAGCTCCACGGGAGCTGCTGGAGCAGGACGGGAGGAACGCTGCCTGCTCAGATGGAGAAGCCACCCAGAGACAGGGCAGGAGAAAGGAAACAGAAACAGCCAAACTGAGAATGAGGCAGCACTGGTAGAAGCTCCATGTTTTGCTGCCCCAACCAAGTCAAACCCAGTGGAAAAAAAATGACTGAAGTGCAGAGCTGGTACCACAGGACTGGTGCTGGGTGACTCTGGCCAAGGGCTGTGCTCCCCCAGGCCCAGCAGGAGCCACCCCACTGGTGACATGCTCACAGACACACACTGCTCTGAGCAGCAGTCAGAGGCATGACATGGGTCTTACAAACATTTCCAGCTCTCCCAGGACTCATCCTGAACTACCCAAAAACCCGTGAAGAGCAGAGCTGGGAGGTCAGTGGCACCCCTCAGCAGGGACACTGCCCAGCAGCACTGCAGCATCAGGGGAAGGACTCTGCCAAGGGACAAGGGGGACAGAGCTCTAAGCTGGCAATGCCTTGACAGGGGAACAAGAGGCAGATGGGTTAGAGGGATGCCATGTCCTCTGGCCTAAGGGACCAGAGAAACACTCCCATCACCTGAGCTGCTGCCCAGAACCATTCACCTGGAGGGCCAGGCTCGGCCCACAGAGAGGAATCTCAGCCCCTGGACGGAGCAGTGCTGCCCACGCCAGTGCCTCCCAGACCTGCCAGCACACCTCAGGCTGCTGCTAGTGACTGCTTTGCTCTTGTAGCCACCCAGACATCACCAACATTATTTTTTAGACACTGTTTTGGCCCTTGAGGTTCAGCTCCAGCTGCCTATCCAGCAGGTTCTACCTAGCAGGACAAGTAAGGTAAAGGAACTGTACTCCTGTGTCTGCACAGAAAGTAGAACTGTGTTCTACTGTTCTAAGAGCTATTTAATGTACAAAACACCAAAATAGCTTAGTATTGCCAGGGAAGGATGTCTGACTTTACATGTGGTCACACAGAGCAGTGTGTGAAAGGACAAGGAGAAAGAAGGGCAGATGCAGAGCAGCAGGCAGCTTCCAGCAGGGCCAGCTAGGTCCTGGGCCAGGGCAGAGGGCACCACCTCCCCTGGGAGCTGCTGCTTCTGCAGACAACCTGAGTGTCTCACCTCTCCCTAGCAGGCAGAAATACAAAGCAATTAATCAAAACTTTAAAGAGTCAAGACACCAGAAAATGGGGGTGTCTCTTCAGGGGCAGCAGAACCCATCTTTCTGAAGAGACCTCACCCATGCCCATGGCACAAAGAGCAGCACAAAGGATTGCACTTATCTGAAGATGAGGGCATGTAAGAGAGCAAGTCCAAGTGAAAGGAGCTGGCTAACAGCAGAGAGGAGGAAAAAAAGCATTATCTCCACAGAGGCAGCTACCCACAGGACACAAGCATGGGGAGCCCATCAGGACAGATGGGTCTGTGGAAAGGTCTCCAGAGGATTCTGCCAGGCACCAGAGAATCTGCAGTACACTCCATTTTGGAAACCTTTAAATAATTGAGATCTCTTCAAAACTTACACACAAAGCAGGGGTTTAAAAACCAGCAGCCACGAGTCTGAGCTGCCCCCATGGCCTGGAGGGGTCCCCCCTCCCTGCAGCTGCCCCAGTCCCCCCAGCCCCTGGGCAGCAGCTCAGCTGTCAGCACGGGCTCTGGCACAGCTGCACCCAGGGAGGGCACAGCCAGGGAAGGGCCCACCCTGCCCTCCTGGGGGCACTCTGCAGGACTGGCACTGCAAAACTCAGTCAGAGCTGACTTTGGGGCGACAGCAGGCCCTTGGCAGTGGAAGTTCATGCTGAAGAGCAGCAGCATCTTCACTGGCCCACACTCAGCTCACACCCCTGCAACTGTACCTGTGAATAACCCCAAGGAAAAAACCTGGTAACGTGGGTAAAAATTTATTTTACATACAGACCATTGCAACTTAACTATTAATCAGGAGAAGTTATTTTTACTTTACAGGAAGGGACCAACTGGTCTGAGATTAACAGAAGTCTAAGCCTGAGAGCTAGGGTTTTAGTTGGGAAATCCAATCTGGGGGAAGGGTCCTTCCAAGCCCCACCCAGCCCAGGGGGGAGCTGCAGGGCTGGAGCTGCAGCTGGGCTGCACTGCAGTGCTGGCAGCACCTTCCCAGGGGCAGCTGGGCCTGCTGAGCAAGGTGGCTCCTGGAAAGGCAGGGATGCATTCCCAGCGTTTTGTTCAGCTCTCAGGCTGGAAATGGAAGTGGCAGAACAGCACAGTCTCCGTGGAGTACAAAACACTGAGTTACAGGGCAGCAGACAGACGGGACAGCGGGGACAGCGGGGACCCCCCACGCCAGGGGCTCTACGTGTGGTGGGCTCCTGGCCAGGCTCCTACCACGGCCCTAGCTCAGACAGACAGAGTACAAAAAATACTTTGACCAATAATTAATTGTACTGGAAACAAACAGTCTACTAAAAAGCAATTCTTACTCTAGGTGCCAATGAGTCCTTAAAAGCAGGGAGGGGACTGAGGAGCTGCACTTGTGCAGGGCTGCCAGAATCATTCACGCTGCTCCATTTTTACTTTGGGAGGTCTCAGGAAGGTCCTGTTCTTCTTCTCCTTCTTCCCCTTGGTATTGGCCTGGAAGTTTCTCCAGCTGTCTACGCGGCCGTCGCGACTTTCCTGGGGAGAACAGAGACAGAATGGGGAGTCAAGGAGTGCAGGAGACAGAGCAGGCAGTGCACACCAGCTGCAAGAGCAGAGTGCCAACTCCCCCTTTCTCCAGCAGGCAGCTGCCTGCAGCCAGGACACAGAGCCCCTGCGAGGAGCCAGAGGGACCCACGCAGCACAGGGGAACCACGCGTGAGCTTCAAACGCCAGGACAAGCATTATGCTTCTTTCTTGCTTCAGAAGCGACCAGCTTGGGATGTGCAGCCCTGACTGGAGTCTGATGGGCCCTCTGATGTCCAAAGGCAGCAAGCTGTCTCACAGCCTTGATGCAGCTCTCCTTGTGCTGCAGCTTGCAGGCACAGGGAAGGGAGACACACTGCTGTCTGCTCGCCCCGAGCTTCAGCACAAAGACACAGTGAGAACAGCTGCCTGGTGTGCCCTTTCCTACTCTCCCTGGCCTTCCTAAAAAAGCCCAAACTCCCCAGAAAGCCAGCCCATGACCCCAAAGGGCTGAAGGTTCCCCACAGCAGGACAGAACAAGCCCAGGGATGATCTGCTTCACAGCATGGGATCCACACACTGAAGGCCCACCCGGCCGTGGCTATGCCTGCAGCACTGCTGCTCTGCACAGCTCTGGCTGCTGAGCTGCCCAGCTCCATGCCCACCTTTCCTGTGGCAGCACAGAGGAAGGCCAGGCACCAGCAGTGACCTGGATGAGGGGCAGAGAACACCCTCAGCACATTTGCCAGTGACATGAGACTGGAAGGAAAGCTGACAGGCCAGAGGGTTGTGCTGCCATCCAGAGGGACCTGGGCAGGCTGGAGAAAGGAGCTGACAGGGACCTCCTGCAGCTCAGCAAAGAGAAGAGCCCTGCCCCTGGGGAGGAACCCCGGAGCCAGCCCATGCTGGGGGCCACCCAGCTGGAAAGCAGCTTGGTAGAAAAGAACCCGGGGTCCTGGTGGGCAGCAGGGTGAGTGTGAGACAGCAGCATGCCCTGGGCTGTGTCAGGCAGAGCACTGCCAGCAGGCTGGGCACGGGA